AAAACGTTCGAAGTCTCGGTCGCTAAGTGAAAAACAAATTGTACTTCGAGTATTTCACTGTCTTGAAAGAGATCATCAGCGACCAAAAGATAACTTAGTGCATATGTGCTTTAATTCTACGGATGTACCTCCAACATCATTAACTTCCACAATTACAAAAGATAAATTAGTTGATATGTGCTCTGATTATACGGGTGTACCAAAATCATCAGTTTACAAAATACTAAGAGAAAACAAAATTCATGGGGAAGTACAAACGCCAAAAACTAGTAGCGGAAGAAAAAAAATCACAGTTGATGAAGAAGCCAAAAACAGTATACGCACAACTATTCACAGTTTCTTTTTCAGAAATGAGCTACCCACTTTGCAAAAAGTTCTGGAGGCAGTTAGCGATCATGAATTGGTTCCACAAATGAGTAAAAAAACTGAGGAAAATTTTACAGGAAATGAAATTTACGTACGGAAAAGTCGACAGGAAAAGCATTCTCATTGAACGTCAGGAAATAATAGTATGGAAAAGAAATTATCTCCGAAAAATTGAGGAATTTCGGAATATCAAAAAAAATTTACTACATGGATGAGACGTGAGTTAACCAAGGACATACGGTCAAAAAAGTATGGCAGGATGGTCATATAACAAGTGCACGACAAGCCTTTATTGAAGGCTTGTCAACTGGGTTAAAACAGCCGTCTGGAAAAGGTAGTCGTCTGATAGTTACGCATATAGGAAGCGACAGTGGATTTTTACCAAATGGTGAATTAATATTTAAATCCAAGAAAACAGGCGACTATCATGATGAGATGAATGCGGAGGTGTTTGAAAAATGGTTTGAAGGCATCATTCAACTTGTGGAACCTGGGTCTGTCGTCGTCATGGACAATGCCCCATATCATAGTCGGTATTTAGAATCATTACCGAAACAATCATGGAAAAAACGAGCAATTCAAGAATGGTTAATTAATAAAAACATCCAATATAAAAAAGATAGTTTAAAGGCAGAACCACTTCAGTTAACAAAATTACACAGAGACAAATATAAAAAATTCGCAGTGGATGAAATGGCGTTAAGTCGTGGAATTACAGTATTAAGGTTACCACCGTACCACTGCGAATTAAACCCAATAGAATTAATCTGGGCGCAAGTAAAAGGATATGTGGCACGAGAAAACAGAACATTTAAATTAGTGGACGTGCAACGTTACCTACAAGAAGCCATTCAAAATGTTTCTGCAGAAGACTGGAAGAAATGCATTCAGCATGTTTTAAAAGAAGAGCAAAAAATGTGGGACGTAGACAACCGTATTGAACACAATATTGAACCAATCATAATTAACTTTGATGATAGCGGTAGCAGCAGTGACGAATCTGAGGTTGAAGATTAGAAGACAATTTGTACACAAATAGAAGTCTATATATTTAGGTATAATTTTTATTTTTACCATTCACTATTACCATTTAGAAATTATTATATAAATTTGTATTTTTAATTCCTGTACACAGACATGAACAATGTCTCAGCAGGATACAAATGTTTATTTATTTAATTATTATTATTGTATCAATTTGTACATTGTTACATAAATTTGAAATAAACATTATTATTATTATGTTTGGCGGTCAAGAAAACATAATCCTGTAGGTTATATCCAAACTAATTATCTTACTTAGGGATTTCCGAAATGATAGGTGCGTGTAAACTTTTATGATTTAAGTACCAATCAAATAGTAATTTAAGCTTTATAATGTCTTTAAATGTTGGCCAAACCCAATTAGGGTTTCTTGGGTAAGGCTGGCTAGTTTCAAAGAACTGCAGGTAAACCGGGAGAGAGAGAGATATATATAGAGGTATGCTTTATTGTCATTGAAAAATTACAAAAATTTTATAGACAAAGCGAAGTAAATTAAAAACTAAATATAATATAAAAAGATTAAAAAATATAAAAATTTAAAAATAACTAAACAAAACAAAATAAAAATATCAATTGCATTGGATATGTAATATCCGTCATTATGATTTTAATTTAAAATTTAAGTAATACTTCTGTATGTGTAACCCAAGAAGAAACTTAAGAGACAGTTCCTTACTGACTTTGGCCTCGACATAATATATAAATATACGTTAATTTGTGAAATAAAGTTAAATTCATTATTAAAATAGTAAAATTGATAATATTGTTTCTGTCACCAAACCAACCCCTGATTAGGTATCTTTCTTATTTTTAATTTGAAATATATATTGTGATTTTTATTAATATTCTTAATTTATTTGGTTCCTACTATAATTACCACAATTATTACTCCGTTTTCATAAAGCCCCACTAATGACTACAACGATTAGGTAAATTACGATATTGCAAAGTTTTCATGAAATAAATAAAAGAAATTGTATGAATATTTTAAATAATTGTACCCTCTCAAAAATAATAAGCACCCTCCGATTTGGTCGTATTTCTACCTGCTTTCACTCTCAATCATTATTTGTTTGAGTTTAGTGAAAGCAATGCCTCATCAACTAAAGAGGTAATTATCGACGAAACTGACAGTGACAGCGAATACGGAATAAAGCTCTCTAGATTATGACAAACTAATCAAGATGAACATAGTGATATAAATGTTCCATTGACATCTAAATCTCATAATGATACAAATTTACCATCGACATCGACTAGCAAAAAATGTAAAAAATCACAACACAAAAAAATGGAAAAGAAGAAGTTGTCTGGCAGAATAGGTTCCTTGCTATTACTGAAGAATTTGTGAAATTCAAAGGAGATCAAACAATTCCAATTTTCATACAAGAACTCGAAGATCCCATTCAGTTTTTAAAATTTTTTCACTGACGTTATTTTTACTTATATAGCTAAACAGTAAAACTTTCGTGGTGTACAAAGTAGGCCTGAAAAACCGCTCAATATATCCAAAGAAAAACCTCGCATTTTTTGCGGTATTTTCATATACATGTCATTTATTCAACTCCCTTCAACCAGGTCCTACTGGAATCAACCGTTGGATATTCCCTGCATCTGACGTGCTATGACCTGCAATAAATTGGAAGAAATCAAACGATTTCCTCACTTCAATGACAACACACGCCCGGTTCCTCAAGAGCAGCCAGGTTATGATAAGCTTTTCAAGATACGTCCATTGCTAAACAAATTTCTTGAACGTCTCTTACTTGTTCCTAAAGAGGAGCATATGGCCTTGGATAACCAAATTATTCCGACAAAAGCTCGATCAAGTCTCAGACAATATAATCTCAAGAAACCTCATAAATGGGCATACAAGGTTTTTGTTCTAAGTGGGGTGTGTAGATTTTCTTACGATTTCGACTTTTATTGTGGAGCTACTACTCTTGAAAATAATCATCCAGATCTAGGAGCATGGAGCAATGTTGTCGCAAAAATTTTCAAAATCAATTCCAAGAAATCTAAACTACAAATTATTTTTTGATAACTGGTTTACAAGCATTTCTCTACAAATATGCCTCAACAAAAATTGAATTTTACCTTTGGGGACAGTAAGAAAAAATTGTGTGCATAATTTTGAATTCCTTAAGAAAGCAGCTATAAAAAAAAAGTTATTGAAGCAGTGGCCAATGTAGATGATGAAGACATATCTGTTGTTTCATGGTTTGATAATAAAATTGTGAACACCATGTCAACATATGTTGGGAGCCTGTATCGATGGTAAACAGATTCTGCAGGTAATCTAGGACACATATAGAAATCACCCGCCCTCAATGTGTTGCGGTATATAATGCTTATAAGGGGGGAGTAAATTTTTTACATTCTATGTTAGGATACTACCGAATCCACATTCGATCCAAAAAGTGGTACATAAGGGTATTTTTCCACTTCCTGGATATGATATGCGTCAACAGCTGGATACTGTGGAGGCGAACCCTAAAAAATAATAATTTATACCTACCACTTTTAGAAGTCAAACTTGGTATCGCAGAAGTTTTGACCAGAGCTTATAGTTTAAAAAGAAAGAGGGGAAGAACGACAGAGGTGCAAATATCCAGACTGAAAGGAAAAATATCAGATATTATGTGGCAAATGTTCAGTATTTATATGTCTTAATAAGAATCGCAATTGTTTTAGCAAATTCTACATGAAATAGGGCAAGATTTTCACTCTTTTGTTGAGATAAAATCTATTTTTTTAAAATAAATCTAAATTTATACTTAATACTTTTGTTTTATTTCCGAAATTTGTGCCAAATTTGGCACATGTCAAAAATTAACATTGTTAGTGTTATCTAATTTTTGCCCGATTTGGTACAAGTCATAACTCCTAATCAATCATTCTAACGCATATATTTTTTGACCAACAAATAAAAAATCATATAGTAAGGAGTTAACAACAGGGTTTCAAATACCAAGAAAATTAAACCCTTAAAAAGAAAGCTTTTATTTAGTTACACCACCTTATCTCAGTATCAGTCAGTGCCTTATTCATTATCTGTCATTTTAAATATGTATTTTAAAACCCCTAAAATATCTCCCTTTGGGGTAGCTGTAAAATAATTTCAGAATTTTTTACAGTATGAAATCCTCTTTTTTGTTATTGATATAGAGAGTAAAGTCCGAAATGGGAACAAATTTAATAATGGTACAATTTAAAAATAAGAGTACAAAATTATTAACAGAAAACAACATCCTTTTTTTTTAATTATTTATTTTATTTTTTTTTGTTTTCATAATAAAACTGGGAATTGCGCAATCATTAGGTGAGTTTTAATCATTACGTTAATTGTAAAAAAAACTACTAAAATCGAAACAAAGAAAGCAGGACAGAAACTTAGCAAAGCGGATAGGAAAACCGAGAGAAAAGAACACATGAACATTTCTATTATTGCTATATCCTGTAATGTTTTTTTTTTATTTTTTTAAATCTAGTCGCTATTATAGAAATTTTAAAGGTTCATATTTAGATTGGATACTTTGGAAATTTTAAACAGTTCTTTCCACATCAATATAATTAGTATAGGTACTTACCCCCTAATTTTTGGCCTTGTTTTTTAAACTCATTATAATATGTTACAGCATACGATCCCAACCCTATACCTTTTGGTAAACTTATCGGGTGATTACCAAACGGAAAAGTAGGTGGAATTTGTGGTATACCCTTTTTGGTCCAATAGCTGTACTTATGCTTGATATAAAAATATGCAGCAATTACAACGGTTGCAACCGCTATGATCAAGTCGATCACTAATTTGTCGGTTATAAACATTTTAGCTGAAACAAGAAATATATAATATAAATAATGTGTACTTGTTTAAGGTGGCGCAGCGTTAGCTAATGTAATAGCATAGGAGAATTTCCCTACATACAAGACGGGCTTTCAAGGTCATAAATCTGTGCGAATTTGCTTTTATAATGTTCTAATACTATTGAAGTATTTACTGAATATATTGAAAATTGGAAAAAAAATTAGAAAACGCAAAAAAGTCATAAAAAATCGTTGTAAAATTATGTCAAGAAATAGAATATATTTCCATCAGGGGTTCAAAAAAAAAATACATTTTCTGCTTTTATTTGAAAGTTCTAAATGTAGGTAGATTTATTAAAATTTTAACCATAATAACTCAACCAAAATTACATCAAAATAGTTCTTGTGCTTTTATATAGATGGTGCGAACTAAAAAATTTTAAATTTAAATAAAACAACTAACTAGTGCAGGGCATAGTGGCGCATTCGTTTGCAAAATTGTTTTAATTCGTATTTTTTTTTTAAATGTCCGGAAGGCTTTCCTGATTATAAAAGTGTAAGATGACACTCGATAATTGTTGATGTTATTGTTTAAACAACGAAAAATTAATTAAGCCAGAAAAAAATGCATTTTTTGCAATAAATTAATTTTTTTTATATTTTTTAGGATATTTTGAATAAAAAAAGTCCTTACGCCCATCATCGTATCTTTAACCCTTTAATTGTTATGAATTTTTTAAAATCCAAAATTGACGAAAATTCTAATTTTCTTGAATTAAATAATATTACTTAAAATTTAAAATGCTATAATTTTAAATTTTTTACCGAATATTCAAACTATAATAAACAAAATAACCTAAATAAATTTTGTTTGTTGTTATGTTTTTTTTACGTTATAACAATATGCTTTCTACGCGCGTGTACTTTTAGAGAGAAGTACTTCTATTTCACTTCCAACTCATCTGCCCTGCAATGGTAAAAAGCCTTATAAGCAAATTTCGATTTTTTTTTTAGGTTACATTGACAAACTTTTTACGCTCTTTCTAACGGTATAATTGCCGTTTGTTTAAGTCGTATCGTTGTTTCAATAAATGCATTGGACAAAGCAGGTATAAGCGTTATTTTTTCAGAGTACAATGATAGAAGGACGTACATGCACTTTTTGTGCTTATAATACTTTGGTAAAATGACGTATATCAGTTATACAAATTTCAAAGCAAAAAAATACATAACTTTTCAATGGAAGAAAAACGTATGATCTGATACAGTTAAAGTATATTTTTTAGAGTGACAATAAACAAATGTAATACAATGAAAAAATACTTTATAAACTTCTTAAGTTTTTGTTTCATTGCATGGTTAATAGACAATTAAAAACTTTGCATTGTAAAAAAAAACGTAAAATAGGTAGGTATACACGTTTTTGCCAATTTTTCAATGCCTTTAAATTTCAACAATTCCAACCGTTATAGTTTTATACATGTCTTGACCCGAGTTTGGCGGGTACATTTTAGTTGCCAGAGGCCTTTCCTAAAGGCAAGGTCAGTGTTGTTGTATGTCTACCTATTCTGTGAGGTTTTGGTGAATATTGGCGTTAAAAAATGACTTCAAGAACATTATTTATGTTACGAAAAGCTACTGGAAAGGCAAGGTGGTTAATCTGTTATTTGTATATATAATTTAAGTTTCACAGTTTAAGGTTGTGTGTCTATTTAGCAGTGGACCTGTACGGCGATTTCGTATAAATGTTAATAGTCAATACATAACTAGTTACAAAGAATGTATTCACCTAGTAGATTTTGATTAAAAGAAACTTAGTTATTATTGGAGTTAGAGGGTTAATGGGCTATGATTTAAAAAAATTTCAGCAGAGGATTGATTAGAGGACTTTGACACGCCATAAAGTCCATTTAATTTAGAGTAAAACGGATTGCACATTCCTATCTTGGTTTTTCAGACAGAAGCTATCGAATGGTGCTAACTTAAATTTTGACAGGAGCTATCAAATGCTGACGTACCATCATTCGATAGTTTATGAACAATCAAGACAGGAATGTGCAAACCGTTTTGCTCTGAAAAATTTATGAGGGTTTCTAGAAAATAGATCGCCATCAACAACGAATTTGGCTTTCAACAAAAGTCATTGAAAAACCAGCATCCCGACGCATTTAAGAAGGACGACGTAAAAATACTAGGCTTTTCTTTTTTTCAAAACATTTTGAAAATAACGAGGATCATTGTCCAAAAAAGGTAAATCAAACGAGGGTGGTCCTTAGGATCTCACAAGAGTATTTTATTACGACCGGTTTCGAGAATCAGATCCTCATCATCAGGTAAGGTCTAAAATAGAGAGGAAAAACGAATGAGCTCATAACTAATAAAGTGGGTTTAAACATTTTAATATGAAAGTTGTCAAATATCAAGAACTCACCCGTAATTACTCATCTATTTAAGACTAAGCTAAGAGAATTATCCCAGGGTCGGTGTAAAAACAAGTATGCGAGTATTTTTTAAAATACATAAAAAACAATAGTTGCAACAAAAAGTTGATGTCAAAACACATAAACAAAAGTAGGTCTAAAACTATTAATTAAAATTATTAAAATATTCCACGAACGGACGAACAATTAAGACAAACAAATTTAAAAACTTTTTAAACCCTACAAGCACTAAAATGGGTTCTTGGACAAGTGTTTATAATTCTACAGGAATTAAATTTTATTTAGATTAAATATACTGATTAACGCCCTCTAGATATAAATAGACGAATTAACCATTCTAATATTTAAGATAACAGTTTAGAGGTTGTCAAATTTAAATATTTTGACCATCGGCTAATAGATGGCGTTGGCGAAAAAAATAAATGTTACTTAATAATAATATAGGTTTATAAAATGAATTGTTTGAATTTGTACGTAATAATAAACAAAATGAAATAAATAAATTAATATTGTTAAAAGTAGAGTCTAGCATTAGCGTTGGAAAATAATTTTAGATGTACTAATATTCAAATTAAGAAGTTGGTAACAATCAACGGAAAAAGGAAATGGTGTTAAAATGAAAAGAAGAAAAAACTATTGATTTGGTTAGTTGTTTTTTGAAGTAATGTGCTGAAAAATGAAAATGGAAATGGAGACAGAATAAAAATAAGGAATAAGATAAGTATAACTAATAATTAAAGTCAATAGAATTTCATAGGGAAATTTTAAAGTAAAAAGGGGGGGCTAATTTAAGGGAAACGTAGATTTTTAAAAAAGAACTGAGAACGTGGGTGTGGATTCGGAAAAAACTTGTGAGTTTAGTGATAATGCATTGGTACTTTTTCTTAATCTAAATATTTCTAGGTTCTCCAAATTATTCAATATCAACTTGTTGTGGCAAATGTGGAGTACCCTAAAGCCATCCCCTGAGTCAAAATCGTGATTGGACTCTACTAGATGGGTGGCAAAATGTGAGAAGCCGGTTGTGGCAGTATTCAAACATCTTAAATATTCTTTAAGTCTAGTCCTAAAATTACGAAAGGTTCTACCTACATATTTGGCTGGGCAAGACTTACAACTGAGTTCATATATGCCTGGTTGATCCATGATGTCCACTTTATCTTTATTCTTGATGAAAAAGTTACTTATTGAGTTGGAGGATTTAAAAGAAATTTTGAAGTGATTTTTGAGGATATTGGAGACTTTATAAGAAATATTTCCAATATAGGTAAGTGACATATACTTGCTAATGCTAGCCTCTACAGGTATAGGGTTAGTTATAAATGTTGTATTTTGAATAATTCTATTGTGTTAGAGTTTGTCAGAAAATGTTCCTGGTTACTTTAGGATTTAAAACAGATACAAATTAGAAAACGGTCCTTGCTGCATGCAAGGATAGTGAAGGTAATAAAGTAGTAACACCTAATGCCGATAAAAGGGGCAATCATCAAAATCATCATAAGAAAAACCTAGACTTACTTGAATCTCACATACTTTCCTTTAAGCCTAGACTTTCACACTATAAGAGATACCACGCACCGAATAGAAGATATCTACCGCCCGATCTTAGCATAAAATTTATGCATGAAGATTTCAACTTAAAACATCCCAATCCTAAAATAGTTTACGAAACCTACAGACAATTGGTTAGTTCATTGAATATTGGTTTTACTGAAGATGCACCAGAAAAATGTGGGACCTGTATGGAGTATGAAGTGATGAATCCAATACCAGAAAATGTTTTGTTGAAATACATGCATCTTTTAAAGGTAAACTCTATTTTAGTTTTTATAATATATCTACTTATAAAGGTAGGCACATACTACTCGCATCACACGGAACGGACGGATCGCATTTTTGGTGCACGTTATCTTAATATGTGGGTATTGCATACTATCCGTGCTTATCCACGGAACTGCGAAATCATATCGTCAATGGACCAACAAATCCATCCGTTTCGTGCGATGCGAATAGTCTGCGCCTACCTTAAGTATTTCGTTCATAACTTTTATAATATTTTTATAGGTTCAAGAAAGCAGACAAAATTATAAGAAAGACAAAGAAAATAGAGATCCTGATACTATAGTTTACACTGTCGACATGCAAAAAGTAATACTGTTGCCTAGAATGCCCGACGTAAAAGATTCATTCTTTTTATCCAGACTTATTCTATTCAACGAAAGTTTTGTTTCTCTAAAACCCAAAGTTAAACACTTACTGGTAATCTGGCACGAGGCTATAGCTTCTAGAAATGCGGAAGACGTTTTATGTGCTTCTTGGTTTTCTTGAAAAAACAGAGATGTTAAAAACATAATTCTGTGGCTTGATAATTGTACGGGACAGAACAAAAATTGGGTTTTATATAGTACTATATTAAATTATGTTAATTCAGGTTTATCTTCTTCTGAAGGTTTGCATGATTTTTTTTATAAAACCGACTATCAGCAGCCATATATAAAATCGTCCAATATTTTAAAATGAAAGGTTGAGGTAGGAACTTATCCTGAAAAAAAAACTACACCACGTGGTATTCAATCATCCAAAAA